CTGGGGAGAATTCCTATTCTTTTAATGCCACCTCCCACTTCAGGGTTTCCAAAACCCAACCCTGGCCTTCACTTTGCTGTGCTTGCTCCTTCCCTTTCCCAGGTGAGGTCTGCCCACGTAAATTGGAGCCTTTTTGCTGTGGTGGTAGAGCTGCTGCAGCTCCTGTTGAAGAGGGAGAAGAACCAGCCCCTTAGTCCAGAAAGGGATGGAAAAAGCAGAAGAGAGGGGGGTTACATCTCTCTTGCTGGTGAAGGAGAAGGAAAGTATGATCACTGAGCACTCAGGAGCTCCCACGTTAGGGTGCATTTGTAACATCCTGCTGAGTGTTGCTCTTTGTCATAGAGCAGCAATGCTGGGTTTTAATTAGCCAGTGGTTGGCTTTGATACTCTAATCTCCAGTGCTGTGCAGTGACTTTGTTGGTAGTCATGTGCTGTGGCATTGTCTAAAGATGTGATTAGATTCATTTGTTGCAACCTTTTTGCCTTCGCTGTGATAGTCTCTTAATTACAGCCTTCCAGGCATCCTCGAGTCCAGAGCCATTCTGTTGAGTTCCCTGTGGAAATGCTGCTGCATGCCCTGCACAAGCACTGCTGAGTGCTGTGTGCAGGGACTTTGGTTGCCTTGGAAACTATGTGCCATACATTTATATGTGTGTGTGTGTGTGTGTGTCTTACCGCTCCACGCATCAGCACATCATTTTCTTTTCAGACCTGAAGCATTAGAAGCTATTCAGCCTGAAAGAGCAGCTGGAAACTGCTCATGGAAAAGGAGCTGGGGATGCTGATTGATGGAGCTGCTTCTGGCCAGGCAGCCAAAAGGGGCACCAGCATCCTGGCCTGTATCAGCACTAGTGCAGCAGCAGGGCCAGGACAGTGATTGAGCCCTTGTACTGGGCACTGGTGAGGCCGCACCTCGAATCCTGTGTTCAGTTTTGGGCCCCTCACTACAAGAGAGACATCGAGGTGCTGGAGTGGTGCCAGAGAAGGGCAGTGGAGCTGGTGTAGGGCCTGGAGCACAAGTGTGATGGGGAATGGCTGAGGGACCTGGGGGGGTTCAGTCTGGAGAAGAGAAGGCTCAGGGGGACCTTATTACTCCCTACAACTGCCTGACAGGAGGATGGAGGCAGGGGCAGCGGGGCTCTGCTCCCAAGGAACAAGGGATGGGACAAGAGGAAACAGCCTCAAGCTGTGCTGGGGAGGTTTAGGTTGGATACTAGGAACAATTCCTTCCCTGAAAGGGTGGTCAGGCATTGGAACAGACTGCCCAGGGCAGTGGTGGCCTTGGCAGTGCTGGGGAACAGTTGGACTTGATGATCTTGAAGGTCTTTTCCAACCTCATTGATTCTGTGACTCTCCTTCCAGGTAAAGGGCTCGTTCAGAGGCCTCTCGTTGCTGGTGCTGAGCACTGACCCTATGACTCTCTGCTAGGGCAGTGCTATTTCTCCTCGTTTCACTCCCTCCAAGCAGAACTGCTCTGAAGGACAAGACTCATTTTTTGTTCATTTGCCAGAGGAGTCTCTTTTGGAGCATAGGAAATGCTTTGGCAGATGGAAGGATGAGCTGCATTGCTGCAGTGGTTTTATCTCCCTCTGTTCTCTCCCCCTTCTTGTCTTCCTTCATCTGCCTCTTCCCATATGTGGTCTTTCACTTTGCTTCTCCAGAGCTCTAGCTTGGCAAGTTCTCCAGTCTCAGATGCTGGCTGGCCACCCCTGCTTGCTGCCATTCAGATAGCATTTCTCTCCAAACAGCATCCCTCTAAGCATTTCCTTTGCATTGCATTTCTCTCCTTCCTTGTCAGTTGTCAAAATCACACCTATTTTTAGTCGCCCCAAGCTTCTTTGCCTGTTGGGGTGTATATTTAGGCACTTGCTGAACCGTGTCCCTTGTTTGTCAGGCACTGCTACACCTAAAATGGAAGATTTCAAACCTGTGTGTTTCAGAAATGCAGGAAAAGTGGTTTCTAGAGAACTCGGAGCTGTTTGCAAAGCTGAAGAAGCAGGAACAGGGTGTGAGCTGATCCCACCTCTGCAGAGGTGATGTGCGTCTCAGGAGGGAACAAGGCATGACGCAACACCTTTAATTTCCTCACTTCTGTCAGCTTCAGCAGGACATGGCTGATGAAAGAGTGATAGAATCCAATGCATTTTTCATAACCTTGTACTGTATTCATGAGAAGTATCAAAGGCAGCATGTCACTGGGTATAGTTCTTGCTAGCAGCTCCTGCTCGTTTGTGTGTTCAAAGGCTCAGCACTGTGAAGCCAGGAGAGTTTGCTGAGCTCCAAGACCTTCTCTCTAGGACTGCTCTCAGACCAGCGTCTGCCCAGCCTGTGTTTGTGCTTGGATTGCCCTGACCCATGTGCAGAACCTGGCGCTTGACCTTGTTGAACTTCATGAGGTTTGCACTGGCCACCTCTCAAGCATGTCAGGGTCCCTCTGGATCCCATCCCTTCCCTTCAGCATTCTGACTGCAGCACACAGCTTGGTGTCATTGCCGAACTTGCTGAGGGTGCACTGATCCCTCTGTCCGTGTCACTGGCAAAGATGTTGAACAATGCTGGTCCCAGCGCTGACCCCTGGGGAGCACCAGTCGTCATTGGTCTCCGCTTGGACATGGAGCCATTGACCACAACCCTCTGCGTGCAACCATCTGGCCAGTCCCTTATTCACCAAGTGGTCCATCTGTCAAATCCATGTCTCTCCAGTCTAGAGACAAGGATGCTGTGTGGGACTGCTGCAAAGGATTTCCTGTTGTTTAAAGCACCCATATTCCTACAGCAGTGCTGGTCCTGCAGTAGGAGGAGGCATGCTGCACCATGTGTGGGACAGCAGCCTGTGGTTGTTCCAACGTGGTGAAGATTTGTTATCCCGCTGTTACCTGCAGGTTGTACCCTGCTCCATCCACAAGCTGTCAGCACTGAGAACACCTCCTGCCCAAAGTGAAGGGGAGGGTTTGGTGTATGGGGGTTTGATTTGGTTTTGGTTTTTGCTGGTGTCTCCTAACTTGCCTCAGGGCAAACCTGTTCTTCACTTGGCTTCTCCCACCCTTTCCCAAAATGCAGAACTCAGGCATTTTTCCCAAAGCCAGGAATCCTTTGTATGAAGCCAAACTCACCTCCTTTAATGGTGAGAGGTGGCATGTCTTGCTATGTCCTTGGCTTGCCTCAGTGTTAGCAGCAGAGCTTTATGTTCCTCTTCACCCCCACTGTCTGTACTGTTTCTCCAATGACATGTACCTGGGGAAATCTTTTCCTGTGAAACCCTTGACATGTAGCATGACTTCTCTGTCCTGGCTGTTCATGTCAAAGAGCCTCTAAACTTCTAGTTATGTGATTTATTTAGCTGTTTCTTTTCTTTGTGGCTTGTCACAGTTCCTGCCCCTCATCTGCAGAAGGAGAAGAAGGGAAAGATTGGAAGTGAACTTAAAAGTGGCATTTTTCAGTTTGCTCATCCCTTTATTTGCTGGAGGAGCAGCAACAAACTGATTACACTGTTCCTTCGGTATAGGGGGCTGGTGGTGAATAGAGATGCTGCAGATCTTTCAAAAGCTGGGATGGAGAAATGAATACAGATTAATTTCTCCTGGAGGTGTGCTGCGATTGTAGCTCTCCCAAAGCAATTTGGTCTTTTAGTCTTCGCAGTTATCAGTCTGAATGTGCCTAGAGAAGAAAAGGTTGTAGCTGGAGCAGTCTGTGCTGGTTGGAGCAGAGCAGGTAGCAGAGGTGTTTCAGGAACCTGTTCTGTGCCTCGATGGAGCTGGGGGCGATCCCCAGGGATGCGGGGGTTCTCTAGCCTCTGGGAAGGAGCGACCTGATGCCTCCAAGCCTGGGACTGGACTGCTGCTCCATGGCAGGGAAAGGGTAAGGGGGGTGGCAGGGAACCAGGGACATCTCCACTTGGGGAGATATATCTGCAGCACCCTGCGGGTTTTGCCTGTGGTACCCCAGAGAAACATCTCTTTCTTTACAAAATGGTGCATCCTAGATATGAGAGGCTGTTCTTGCTTTTAAATCTGTTCCTCCAGTTCATACTGATCTCTGGCCAGCCATGGACAGAGTGTCTTTCTAGTCAAATACATCAGATCATGTATCACAGAGAGTAAGCCTTCCCTGGTGCCTCTCTTCCCCGTCTGCCTGCTCAGCTGAGGGCAGGTTTCAGCTGTTCTGTTTGGAAACTGGGGCATCTCTGCACCAGCTTCTTTCATCTGCCTCTGAAAGGCCCTACATCCTCCTGCTTAACATTCAGAGGGTTATTTTGGTATTAAAAACAGGAGCATCATAGGCTGGCATGAATGGTCCCCAGGAGGTAAATCTGCCTTTATGCTGTCCTCCTTTTTGAGGGCTGTAATGGGGTGAAGTGGTTACTGTCTGTGTGGGTTGTGGAGCACTATAAGATGGCAGATATGTTTTCTTTTGATGCTCTGACCATATTCTTGGAAGGTGTGCAGGAATCTGCTTGAAAATGAAGCTGACATCAACACAGAGGTTTAGGTAAGCTCACCCCGGCAGGGCCGATAGGTTTCTGTCTGAGATGAGTCATTTCCACCTCAAATTTCCAATGAAAACTTCACCTAAAAAATGTTGTGCTGAAGAATTCCATCATGGCAGTATTTCCGTAAGAATTTTTGAGTATAAATACATAAATGCTGGAACTGTTAGTTCCTGGTTTCCTTTTTTTCAGTCTGTCCTTACTGCCCACTGGAAAAAAGCTTGACTTTGTTCTGAGCAGTTAGTGGGAAGCAAAGTATACATTTATGTGTGTATACTTTCATACACACACTTTAATTTGTACATATATATATTTATATATATAAATACATATTTATATGGGGAGTGGGGGGAAGAGCAAGAAGTGTTTTCCTCTTGCCAGAATACTGTCAGATCTGAAGTCACTTTATGGGATGGTGCCTACCACTTTCAGTCACATACCACAAAAAGTCTTTGTTGTTCTTTCTGGTCCCTTGTAGCAACATCTGACTGATGCTCTCATTTTTACCTTGCAGGAAGAGCCAGCACCTCTGGTGCAGGGCCGAAGGTCATCGCTCAGTGGAGTGTGCTACCTGACCATGGGGCTCCTCGTGCTGCTCTTGGGCTTGGTCTTTGCATCAATGTATGTGTACAGATACTTCTTCATCACCCAGGTGAGTTGGGAAAGACTCCTGGCTCTTCAGCTGGAGCAGCCAGACAAGCTGCTTCAACCTTTGAAAGTGGGGGTGCTGCTATTTATTGCTTTGCCCTGTGGTAACTCTGGAGCCGGGCCTTTAGGCACTTCAGAAGAGGCATATCTTAAGGATCATAGAATCGTTAGGGTTGGAAAGGACCTTAAGATCATCAAGTTCCAACCCCCCTGCCATGGGCAGGGACACCTCACACTAAATCATATCACCCAAGGCCTCGTCCAACCTGGTCTTGAACACCGCCAGGGATGGAGCATTCACAACCTCCCTGGGCAGCCTGTTCCAGTGCCTCACCACCCTAACAGGATCTATGAGTGTCGTTCCTCTAACCTGGATCTTATCCGCACAGCTGCCCCGCGAGAGCGTGTTTCACTGCGGCGTCCTCTATGAAGACTCGCTGTACTCACCATTCAGAGGGCAGCTGGAGCTGCACGAGGATGTCAAGATCTATATTGAGGAGAACTACGAGCAAATCAACGTCCCAGTGCCCCGTTTTGGAGGGAGCGATCCTGCAGATATCATCCATGATTTCCAGCGAGTAAGGAGCTCTTGGGGCCTTTGGGGGGTGTAGCATGGGGCTGAGCACCAGCACCATGCTATGCTATCACTGTTGTCCAGTATGTCTATGATGATCTTATTACTGAGCTGTCCTCCTTCCCAAGATCCTCTCTGAGGTTTTCCAACCTGCTCATCTTGCTGGGTAGGGAGGTCCTTGGATGTGTTTGTCCTTTAAAGCAGTTTCCCGACTTCCCTGAATTCCCGCTTTTTACCCATTTTCACAGCCACGTTCCATTGCTAAGGGCTCAATTCCTTAATTTCTGTGCTTGGAATGCAGGGTCTGACAGCTTATCATGACATAACGCTGGATAAATGCTACGTCATCGAGCTGAACACCACTATTGTGATGCCTCCTCGCAACCTGTGGGAGCTGTTGGTTAATGTGAAGGTACAGTTGCAGTCCTGCTGATTTTGCATGCTCTCCTGGAGTTGGTTTGTGGATGCCAGCTTGGAAGGCCATGGGGAGTCAAAACTGCTTTAAGTCAGCCTTGGCTCTGCCAGAGCTGAGACTTCATGTAGAGTGAAGGCCTCAGTGGGTTTAGCTCAGATATGAATGTACAGACAGCATGCTAACACTGGCATGATGGATCAACCTGACAAGGATGACATGGAGGAGCAGCAGATTCCTTCCCTCTGGTGTTCACTGATTGTACGAATCAAAGAAAGGAAAAAAGAAACATTCCCTTCTTTCACTCTTGCTGTGGTTACCGCTGTGGTTTGCCATTTGGAGAGCTCTTGGTGTCCCTTGGGGAGTACCAGGCCTTGAGCTTTCATCCTTTTGGGGGGAAGCTGTGCTGGGTACAGCATCACCCTTGGGCTCATGTGGTTTTGCTCACAGCTGGTATTAACTGGGTTTAGTACCAGCAGTTCGATTCAGTTCAGAAGCCCATGACTGAAAGCAGTTGTTTTAACAGAGTGCTATTTAATCCTAACAGCAGGGGAAAAAGCAAAACAGGACTTTCAAGACTGCAGAAAGTGCATGTTTGTCTCAGCCTTTTGCAGGTAAAGCAAAGCACTGAGCCTGGGTCTTTTACTCCTTTCTGTGAGGGTCCATTTGAAAGGAAAGGAGAAAAGAAAGAAAAAGAAAGGAAAGTAAAGGGGAAAAGAAATAAACCAGCAATCTGACTCTCTTTCTTAAATTCTTTGCTCACTTGCTGCTACATGCAGCGTGATGAACTTTGTAGGGGTTCAGAGGCAAAAGGTTGTGCCCTGAGAGATGCCTGATCTCCAGTCCTTGTTCAGCTCCCAGTTTGTTTCCTAGCGGTCCTTTCATGCACTGTGACCAGCTGGGAATCCTGCTGGCGTATAGCATGCATTTACTTACAACTCGTGTCTGTCCAGGGCAGGTCACCAGCCCCTGGGGCAGAGGGAAGTGGGAAAGGCAGGATTGCACCTTAGGGGCATAGGTTTGAAGTGTTGAGCTTGGTCTTGAGCTCAGAAACAGTTTCTTCCCATGAGGTCAGTGAAGCAGCAGCACAGGTTGCCCAGGGAGGTTGTGCTGCCTCCTTGAAATCCTTGGATTTCAAGACCAGATTGGGTACAGCCCCAAGGTCCCTCCCCTCTCTCTTAGACTGTCATCTTCATATCCACAGGCAGGGCCCTGTGGGTAGCCTGTATCAGGCAGAGGGGGCAAATTTCTTCCTGCTGCAGGGACCTTCATCACCTGATGACTTGCCCCACTGCTCACAAGTGCTCCTATTTGGATTCTGGATGAGCTGTGTTGGTCCTTGGACTCGGAGGCTTTTGGGTTTTTTGCATCTCTGAATCCAGTCAAGTCCCTAAAGAATGAGACTGATTTCCAGCTGACAGTCTAGATTTTAAGTGGCTTCAGTCCTGTTTCTAAGGGCGAAATCTTAGTCTTGCAAAGAACATTAGTGGCTTGCTCCAGCAGACTGTGGCAGTGCAGGGAGTCACTGAAATGCCATTGCTTCTTTTTCCCTGAGCAGCATGATGCTAGGGTGCCACTTTGCAGTGTGGCTGTCACCATGTATGCATTACCAGGCCTCTTGTGTCTGCTTTTTTTGCCTGTAAATGGCAGCTCCGCTGCTTCTTGCAGGCTTTATTCCATATAGGTGTGTTGGTTTGGTGAACGGCATAAGTATTGAAGAGAAAAAGATGGGGGGATGCTCCCCTGAGCAGCACCAGGAAGGTGGGAGATGAACCACTTAAGTGATGGACAATCCACACCTTTTGCAGGATGCAAGATGCTCAAAACTTTAGTTTTGTTAAAACTCTTAGCAGAGAATTGAAGGTATCATCTTTGTTGCACAGTCCTGCCATAGAGGGATGATTCCTGACTACTTCAGCTGCGACAGCTATTTAAATCTAAAATAACAAGAAATGGGTTGTGTGCATGTGTCTTTCTCTAAGCCGTCTCACCAGATCAAGGATGTGGCCAGTCCTGGGCCCCAGCCCTGGGTGTTAACATGATACCTCCTGCCAGTAACTGGCACATATCGTATGCCCTCTCCTGCACTCTTCCACCAAGAATCAGTAATTGACTTTCTTGCAAAACTGTTGTGTTATTAGTGTAGGACAAACTTCCACTAATCATCTGGTCCTCCAGCAGAGAAGAGCTTTATTGATCCAGCAGGCTATGCCAGCCCAGCAGCACGGCATGAAGTTAAGATTGTGTTTCCAGGTACATCCCTATGGAGATAACCAGTCCTGTGGTGGAAACTGAAGATGCAGTATTTGAAATAGTGTTGTTGTTGCTTGCTTTTCCCCTTGTATTTATATTTGCCCAAGGATTTGCTGTTTCCTTCATTTCTTTGACTCATCTTAAGCAAAAGGGACCAGAAGTATTTACTTTGTGGCCTGGTTAGCATCTAGTGTGCTCAGAAGTGGCCCCCAGCTGAAGCTGTACTTCTAACACAGCTGCTTATTATGGAGACAGACTTTTTAGCAGGGCCTTTTGCAACAGGACAGGGGTGACGGGTTTAAACTATAAAAGAGGGGAAATTCAGGCTTGACATGAGACAAAAACTATTTACACTGAGGGTGGTAAAGCACTGGTACAGGTTGCCCAGAGAGGTGGTGGATGCTCCATCCCTGGAGACATTCAAGGCCAGGCTGGATGTGGCTCTGGGCAGCCTGGTCTAGTTGAAGATGTCCCTGCTCATTTCAGGGAGTTGGATTAGATGATCTTTGAAGGTCCCTTCCAACCCAAACTGTTCTATGATTCCATGATTACCAATGCCCAGACAGCTGTAAGATGGCCTGGCACTCAGGAATCAGAGAGTCTTTAATGACAAGCAGATTTCCTTCCTATGGGGAAAGAGGCAGCCTCCATCCCTGGGATGCTCCCAGGTGCCCCATTTTCTCTGGCCCTTGGTGGCTTTCTGCCATGTCCCCTGTCAGACACTGCACATCACCCTCGTGTTCACAGTGGCCTCCACCCCAACAGCAGGGAGCTCACATGTCCTGCTTTGCCTCAGCTTGCTCCCTGTGTGAGCTGCCTTCCTGCACTGCCCCGGAGTCTCTGGATGATGCCTCTGGGGGGATGGAAGTGTGCTGAGAGCTCTCCGTCTCCTGAGCACTAAGCATGACCATGCAGGGCAGTGTTTCTAAATGCTGTGCCCATGGCTCATCTGTAGTCTTCATTCCTGTGGGCTATAGGAGCAGGAGATCACTGTGGCTGTGCTGAATGAAGCGACGAGGAGGGGGAGATGTGGATAACTTGGGAAACTGTTGGAACCTGAGCAGGGCTGGCACTTTTGGATTCTGCCTTTTGAAGTAAATGTAAAATGCACATTTTCAGTGCAGTTCCTGGCATTCTGGTTGAGTTTAGATCCCTCTGCAGAGGAGGGGGATCCGAGTTACAGATTTGCACACCCACCTTTAAAACTGGAGTTAGTTTATAACAGGGTTGAAGGTACACTGGCTTCATCCCCTAAACGAACCTTCATTGTTTGGATCTAATTAGTTGTGTGTGCTCTGGGCTGGCAGCACAGGACAGTTTACTGCAAGGAAAAGGAAGCATGATAACTGGACTCGGTAAGTGGAGTTTGAGCCATCAAACATGGATTTTTAACAGTGTGTCTATCCTGTGCACCCTGTGAGACAGTTCTGTTCAAAGAGATGATGGCACCATTTGTGCTTTATTCTGGTGGAAACTGTGTCATTTCAGAAAGGGACATACCTGCCTCAGACATACATAATCCAGGAGGAGATGGTCGCCACCGAACATGTCAGTGACATGGAGCAGCTCGGCTCCTTCATCTACCGCCTCTGCAGCGGCAAGGAGACCTACAGGCTGAAGCGGAGGAGCACAAGGAGACGTAAGAGCCTTGCCATATTCAGTGTCCTAACTCACTTTCCCCAACATCACAGTTGTTATTGCTGCTGTTACAGCCCTGCTGGCCTCTTTGTGGTGAGAGGAGAGGTTTCCCTGGGGGTGTAGGCAAACAGGAGATCTTTGGAGGTGCTTCCCTCCAAAAGGGTTCATCTAAACCCAAACCTGGGATGCTGCTGCTGCAGATGAGTGCTGGCTGGTGTGTTTCTATTGTCTATCCTAGTAAAAGTATTGAGGTAATAGTTGCAGGAGCCAGCAAGGCCTTTACATCTGGGCTCGTGTGGCTGAACTAATAGCAGTGCTGGTGGGAACTGTATGGAAAATTTCTGTAATGGAGACATGCTTCAGTGGCAGCTATTCAGAGCAGTTTAGATCTGCAAATTACCTTTAATTAATTGAATTCTTAATAATATGGAAGAAGTTGTAAAGAGGGAAAATTGGACTACCTGGAAGTGATTCCATGGAAATCAGCCATGTGTATCTTACATGCAAATGGTAATATTGCTGCAGAACACTCCTTGATGGAGTATTTGCAGCAAATATTTGCATCAGGAGTGCAGTATTTGTATATATTTGGGTTTAGATAGTGGTGTACTTGAAGGCTCACCTGTAATCAGTTTGGATTTGGGTCTCTGGGGAAGCAGCAGGGTGCAGAAGTCTCCATAGCTGTAGGTCATGGTTGCTTTCCCAGTGGGAGCTGCACAGTTTTGCACAGGGCTGCTGGCATGCTGGCTGCTGCACTCATGGTGTCAGGGCATGGTCCTGTTGGTCAGCAGGGCACCACTGGTGGGGTTGCTGTAAGAAGGCAGAGGTGCCAAGAGTTGAGGTCCTGCAGTTTAAGGGCATGGGGAGCATTCCTGGTTTCCCAGAGACTGGGGCCATAGCAGGATTAGTGCATGAAGGGATACAAACCGCCAGAGAAGTGGCTATTTTAAGCCCTCCTTGGGTGCATTCAGAGCTGTGGTCTGTACCAGCCTGTGACTTCTGCTGGTTTCATGAGGCTTTCTGGTCTCTGTGATAACACTGAGATGTTGTCAGCTGAAACCAGCTGTTTCCAGGCAGCTCACGGCAGCTCTTACTGCAAGCCCACAGCTTAGACAATGTGGTGGTTCTTCCAAAGACCACGTTACGCTGCTTTTCGTATGTGCTGTGTTGTTCCTGCATTTCAGTGTTCAGGAGTCGCACCTCATCTGCTTTCCTTTCCCCACTCGCTGCAGCTCTTACAGATTACCATTGGTTGAATTTCCCCTCTCCTCTCTTTCAATCACTTCTAGGCATCAGTCGACGCGAGGCTGGAAACTGTCATCGCATTCGTCACTTTGAAAACACTTTTGTGGTTGAAACTGTTATCTGTGGGAAGTCATGAAGCCACTCTCCAGATGTAACCTTCCTTGGCTTGCTTGCACACACATGCACACACATGCTCTTGGTCCTCTCTTTAGACATGGTAATCTGTCTTACTTTTTTTACTCCCTCCCGTGCTTGTGCAGCTCTAACCTCTCAGGTCCATCACAATGGATTCTCTTCTCTCCCCGCTACCTACCTGAGATGTCTGTTGGGCTTAAATTTACACAGTGGTTAAAGATAACCTGGGAGTAGACGCAGCTTCTTTCACACCACAGGATGGGAATGTTTTGGAAGCAAGCTTGGTGTAGAAGGGATGCCTGAGAAATAGGAGTGCTGGAAATAGGCTGAGGGATTTCAGGCTGGTGTAGTGCTTTGAGGGTGCTGTGGTACTGGGACGCAAGGTGCATGCATAAGAGGAGGACTACTGTTTTAGTGCTGGTGTATTGACCAGAAATACGTAACCAGATGCACTTAGAAAAGAATAGTTGTGATGTTAGAGACAGTGTGGTTCAGAAAGTGTAGCAGAAGGAGGGTTTCTGCATCAAGCCAGAATCAGAGTTTCAGACACTGAAAGCAGCCACTGTGTTATGGCTCCTGGATTCACCCCTCATGTCTCCTGAGCACATCATGGCTCAGTGACTCATGGAGCAATACAGTGTATCCTGATGGGTGTTCAGGGTGGGCAGGAGGCCAGGGCAAGGAGGTGGGTTGGGAATAACACAAATGACTCAGCGCGTCCCTGCTCCTCAGCCACAAAGAAGAAGGTGAAGTGCAAGGCTGGGTTGCCCTGTCTCTAATACACAGTTGCAGCTGCTGTGGATCCTGGCCAGATCTGCTGTCACTTTGCCTGCGTAAAAGAGGTGAATCTTTGATGTGAGGTGCCAAGGCTCCTCACATCACTAATATCTCATCAATAGGCCATGGCTGTGGGTGGAACCGGGTGGTTTACTCCAGCCCTGTGTCTGTCCTGGCCAGCTCTGCTTGCTTGGGAAGATTATGTTCATGTGTCTGTCTTCCAGAGTTGTGGAGATCCCATCTGTGTGCGGATGGGGTGCCATGCCTACGTACAGAGTGGTGTCAGCAGCAGAGCTGGGAGTTACTGGCAAGTGCAGAAGCAGATTATTTTAATTCAGTGTTTTTAACAATGTGTGTAATCTTGTTTGTCACCTCTGACATCTGGTTTCATAGTGATTACTGTAGTCCAGTCATGTATCACATTATCTGCAGGCACCATTGTAGTACAGATATTGATATGAGGCATGATTTAGCAGGTCAGTGTACTGCAGAGGAACTGTGTGATCAAAAAACTGCATTTCTGTTGATCATCAGAGAGATAAAAATGCAGATTAATTAAATACCCTTCCCTCTGTTCCATAAATATAGTTAAAACTAATTAGGTTCTTGAAATGCAGGCAGGTTTTTGGCTTGAAAGAATGGGGTGAGTTTCAGCTTGGCACATTCTTGTTAACTGGTTTCCAGCAAATCTGGACTTGTTCACCATCTGCTGAAATTCAGGAGCTTGTTGTTTTAGAAGGAGAAGGATCAAGTAAATGCAAGTACAATCATTAATTCAGCACAACCAAAAAGTGAATATATTTTAGAATAAAACTTTTAAGTAATAATACTTTGAGTTAACTGTGTGAAAACAAACCAGGATCTCTAAATGGTCATGTAATGCAATAGGTATGAGTGTGTCCTTAGTGCTGACAGTTTATTTTTCTATATAAACACAGCTATAAACATCAAGTTTTAACAAGTAGAGGAGGATGCTTTGGTTTCATTCAGCTTTAAGCTTGATGTAAAATGAAGCATTATGTGCGCTTCACGCAGGTTGATCAGAAAGGTTTCCCACTGCTAGAGGGGTATTTGGTTTTCTAGCATTGTGTTTTTCCAGTGGTAACTTGCTGCTAGCCCTGATCTTTCATTGCTGACTGGATGACAAGGAATGGGTAAGAGAATTGGTTCACTTAACGGAAGTGCTGCAGACTGGTAAATTTAAGCCCTGCATTTACTTCTAGGAGCCTAAGCCTGCACTCAGGTGAGCATACAGACCTTTTTTCCCCCTTCCTTCTGATTCTGCATGAATTAACCGGTCATTGAATATGCTAACTGTGCAGTCCCGCAGCTGTAAGGACAAACCTTGGTTCTTTTAAGGTGAACTAATGTGGTAACTGTTTCATATGATGAGAATGCAGTTGTCTAGAGAGAAAACATAAGATGCTTTGTATATTTTGTCTTGTAGGATTCTTACTTCTTAGGAAAAATCCATGGGATAATAAAATCTTTTACCTCCAATCTGTAGAGTGTGTGTTTATTCAGAATGAAGAGCATGTGCTTGAATGAATTTCAGAATGAAAAGCACAGCATGATGCTGTTGCTCATGGGAGGCAGCAGCTGGATTGCCCTGGAGGGGTGATCCGTCTTGGAGCTGTGCAGTGGAAGGATGCTGCAGTACGGAGGCCCTTTCCCATGGAGATGAGAGAGCTGTGTGGAGACACGGCTGAGCAGCCCACTGTGGAGCCTGCCCATGTCTGCAGGGCTTTTCCCCTGTCTTTGCACTTCCCTGGGAGACCCAAGGGCAGCCCATGGTGGAATAGTTGCTGCCAAACTGAGGCCTGTGAAGCAGGAAGGTAAGGTACCTCTGATGCTTGCTGGTTGGTGTCTGACCCTCATGCTCAGCCTTGCTTCTCTGGCTGCCTGACTTCAACATAGGAATTTGTTTGTATGTGCCCTAAGCTTACTGGCTGGCTCTGTGGGGCAGATCTTTGGAGGGCTTCCCTCCTCTCTTTGTTGCATGCAGAGATGTGATTCCCTTAGTGCTCTCCTGAGCTTTCTGCACCTCTCTTTCATTCTGGTAGGGAAGTGTCAGAATATTGTCCCTGAACTCAGCTGATCCTCTTTCCACAGTTAGTCCCTGGTCGGTCGGTGAGAAAGTTCAAATCTCAGTTGCAGCAGTATTCTGCTGCATTTTGCATTGACTTCAGTGACTGGATGCCTTTTCCATCTGGATGCTTTTTCTGGATGTTTTTGCAGTGGTTTTGCAGAAGATTGCTGCATCTTACAGTAATTAAGTTTGCCAAAGCCTCTTCTCCCAGGCTAGCACAGGCTAGCTCTGCCTAATGTCCCTCTCCTTCCATCAGCACTGGACTGAGGAGGCAGTGCTGCATCACCCCTTGGGGAAGCCAACCCCTTTAGATGTGTTCATATTTTGAAGGCCGAAATGCTGGTACTAAGAGCATGACAGATGTGCTTCAGTAAATCTAGTCACCAGTATGTCAGCCACCTTGTCTCCAGTGCAAAGAAAACCAGCATGTAGTGTTAAATTCTGCGTTTTCTTTCGAGCATTCACTCTTGTTTATGTTTTTCATTTCCTGAGGTTGTGTCTATTGCCCCTTGCTCTTAGGAAGCAGAAGATAAGTCAGTTCTACTTCCTAGAACTGCTGGTGCTCTGGGAGAAGGGTACCTTATTTGAACAGTGGTACATATAAAAGCTTGGAAATAAAGCCTGCTATAGGAGAACTGTGTGGCAGAGGTGCAGTTGAAACCCCAAGATCACTGTGATAGTAGGTAGTACCTAATATAGTTTACCTTTTAATGCTTGCATATTGCAGCATGGCTCAGTGGTTGTTTAGCTTTGCGAGGCAGTGCTCAGTAAGTCAAAGTTTTGATTTAATGCTAGGAGCATCCACTGCCAGGCTCTGGTGGATTATTTTAACAAGTGTGCTGGAAACCTATACACTGAGCATTAGAGGAGAGGGCCCTCAATGTCTCTTCTAAACCATCAGTAAGTTCTTTGTTTGTTACAAGTCTTCTACGTAACATTTATAGTCTAGTCCCATCCCATGAAGTGCAGCCCATTGGGATTACTGAAGCTTTGGGATGAGCAATGTTCTGGCCATTATGGACCACACCAGCTCCAGCAAGGAGGCTGAAGGACCTGGTTTTGCACCAGCATGATGGGGAGCCGTTTGTTTTAATGCATCTTGTTGATGCATGGTCCATGCTTTTGGGCAGGTAGGAGGAGGTCTGCCAGGTCCCTTGGGAAGGGGGCAGTGAAGAATAGGCAATGGGGGCACCACCACTGGTGGTGCCAGGAGGCACAGGAAGGTCTGTGCTTACAGGCATCCCATGCAGCAGCTCTGCCCGCTGCTGCCATGGATGTGGGGTGGCTGGTCCACAAGGGTGTCCTGGGTGTCTGAAGGGCCATGCTGGCTTGGTATTGCACTTTACCAACTATCTTTTGGCTTTGGGGGTGAAGAGGGATTGTTGGGCCACTTGTATGCTATAAAGAATGAAAATTATCTGTCAGGAGTTACCCTGTGAATTGGCTTCATGATGTATGTACCCAAAATTCAGCAGTGCCCACTTCATTATGGTTTGTAAGACTTCAGTTGTCCTTATTGTGAATTGACTGCAGCTCATTTAGCTCAACATGAATAGCCATCTGATACAGTATGTTGTTGTCAAGCTAATGAAAGCCTGTTCTCTCTCTTATGCGTACTTACCTACGTGCCTTAGGACGTACAAGTTTTTCCCAAGCATTTTGCTGCTGTTGTTCTGCATTCCCCCCAGGACATTATGAAAATGTGCTGTGGATGCTGCCACAGCTTCCCAGAGATAAAAAAAAGAGCATGATTGGGCAGCTATATAATCTAACAAAAATAGCTCCCGAGTTAGTGTCCCATCTCTTAGGTGAATGCCTGTTTATTTCCCTTTTGGTAAGTACAATTCCCGATGGGGGCATTAATATGCTACTGAAATCAGTGAGGTGCTGCAGCTCTGTCAGAGGGAATGTTTTCTGGATTAAATGAACAGAAAGCAGAGTGTGAGCATAACCTCATAGCATAACAAGGTGGGTGGAAGCTGCTAAACTTCCTGATGCTAAGCTGAAGAATCTGTTGCAATGTTTTAGTAATGAAGTTATGATTTCTTGTTTTGAAACAGTTTTTATCTGAAAGTGCTGAATTAAAATGGTGAAGTAACACGGTGATAGAACAAACACTGTTCATTTTGTGTTCAAACAAATATTTATGTTGACCATAATGTCAAGCAAACGTGACTTTTTTCTTTCTCTGGGCTGTCAAAACCTGAGATAAAGAACCAATTTGTGGTTCAGTATGATTTTTGTTTTGATTTTAATTTGCTTTGTACCCCAGCAGGGTAAGTCCCACATTTTTTAACCACTATTCAGCCTTACTTGCCAGCAGGGCCCAGTGGGGCTGAAGAAGGAACTGTAGCTTGAAGTGACATTTAGATCCATCCAACTTGTCATACTGAAATGAGAAGCCTTTGTTTCGTAGGGAGTAAGGACATCTCTGTAGGATGTTTCTGCATACCTTAGTCTCCTGAGTTAGACACAATGAACCTCCTTATGTGTCAAATATGTTTAATGACTGGTATCTTTTAAAGCAACGCTGACTTTAGGACAGGGTGATACTGCCTGTTGTTCTTCCTGGCTGCTCTGTACACAACGCCTTGTATGTTGGGAGCTTCTGCTTCTCTGCGTGAGGGCTGGACCTGCTTACTCTGAAATGCATCTGGCTCTGACTTGCTGTGTCT